CTTCCCTCTGCCTCCATGGCAGATATGATTCCCCATAATACTTTTGGGCAGTATGCTTTGCAATACAGACCTGAGAGGTTATCATGTTTGGTCCTTTATCTACTTTCATAAAGGCCCTGTCTTCAGTCTTAATCCATTTGATCTACAATGTAGCTCTACAATTTCCTAGTGGCACTCATATCTCTGATAAGACCCTTGCTCCTTGATCCAATGTCATCAAAATGGGTTGCACCAGGGTAACTTGTCCCCTCCTTCCCTTGTCCCCTCTTTCCCTCAGAGGTGGTGTCCACCTGTTGTTCAGTGTCATTATTGAAAGTTCATGCCCTAAAATGAACTCCAATAAATATATGAAATAAATAAATAAATAAAATCCAATATATTCCACATATTCCATACATTCCAATAAATATATGAAAGTGTTTCTTTTTGTTTTTGTTTTGGGGTGGTATCTGATTGTGCTCAGGACTTCCTCCTGATTCTGCACTCAGGCTGGTTCAGGAGACCATATGGGAACCATGGCAGCTTGGAACAGTGAACACCCTACCAGCTATACTATCACTCCAGCCCCCACTTTCAAACACACTTCTGTAGCACTGGAGCACTGCCATAGCACTGTCTTCCTGTTGTTCATTGATTTGCTCGAGCGGGCACCAGTAACATCTCCATTGTGAGACTGTGTTTGGCATATCGAATATGTCAGGGGGAGCTTTCCAGGCTCTGCTGTGCGGGTGGGATACTCTCGGTAGCTTGCCGGGCTCTCAGAGAGGGACGGAGGAATCAAACCCAGGTTGACCTCATGCTAGGCCCTCCCTGCTGTGCTATCACTCCAATCTGTATATATTTAAAAATTCATATATAAAATATTCCATGCACTATAATACTACACTTGATCTTAGCCAAAAGGCCAAGAAGCGATAGCATGATAATAGGAGGAGCGATAGCACAGCAGTAGGGCGTTTGCCTTGCATGAAGCCAGCCTGGCCAAGCTGGGTTCGATTCCTCCGCCCTCTCAGAGAGCCCGGCAAGCTACCTAGAGTATCTCGCCTGCACGGCAAAGCCTGGCAAGCTACCCAAGATGTATTCAATATGCCAAACACAGTAACAAGTCTCATGATGGAGACGTTACTGGACCCACTCGAGCAAATCGATGAATAATGGGACCGGGACCACACTATAATATGCTATCATCTTTCTATAGTTAATTCAATATTGTAAAATATTTGAGATGGGTACTATGTTTTTCACGATATATTTCAGAGTTTTCAAAACAAAGATTTTCCTGGGGCAGGACAGGTACCACAGAAGGCAGAGCTCTTGCCTTTACTGGTCAACTCAGGTTCAATCCCCAGCACACTTAAGGTCCACCAAACCCTGCCAGGGCAATGGTTCAGTGCAGAACTAAGTAAGTCCTGAGAACCACCAGGTGTGACCTCAAAACCAAAACAAAGATGTTCAGACACCCACTGATCCACACCTATGCATTCAGAAACACTATACTTATACATGGAGGTTAAGGAAGAGCACAATACTTCTTGGGGAAAGAAAAACAATCCTGGGAAATGGAAGCCGACTGCATCTGTTGTCACTGGTGAAAACGTCCTGTGTCCACTAATCACAAAACCCCATATATGACAAGAAGCAAAGTACTCCTGAACCCTGAGACACGATAATGGCCCACTTTCTGCTCAGGGCTGGACATACAGTCTCTGGGTGGAAGGGCTGGCCATGACTCACCGCCTGAGGCTTGTCCAGGGCTCAGGGCTGGCAGGCAGCTGCAGTCTAAACTGGGGGAAGAGGGTGGTAACACTTTGGGACCTACCTGAATTCATCCACACCAAATCCGACTCTGGGACTGGGGAGACAGTGCAGAATTAAGGCACCTGGTCCAGAGCAACCTATCAGGGCATCGCATATGGTCCCTCAAGCACCGCCAGGGGTCACTCATGAGCATAGAGCCAGGACTAGCCCCAGAGCCCCTCTGGGTTTGGTGGCCCCTCCCCAGATTCCCTCAAATTCAGCTTCTCTGCCCCCCACCCAGCAACCAAGGGCAACCATTTAACCCTGAGTTGCCAGGACTTCCCTTTCCAGTCAAGTGGAGCTAATAATAGAACTTACCTCCAAGTGTGGCCAATATCCAGAAAACTCTTGGAATAGCGCCTCCTAGGGTTGCCGTACAGAGGGCGTGAGCTAATCCCAGAAAGCTCTTGGAAAAATAGCGCCTGCTTGGCACGGCGAGTTCGTGACTATCACAGCCACTTAACTAGAGGCGCCCGAACCGCTGCAGATTTTGCCTTGCTAAGAAACAGATGAGCTACTATAAAACTTGTCATCCCGGAGCTCAGTGGTTATGGTTAGGGACCGGGCGTGGAAAGGGGGTAAAAAAGAAATGGGAGAGTGGGCAGAGGGAGAGCTGCAACCGTATGCAACCATCGGAGTCCACTTACAGCCTCCGCCTGCAACATTTGACCCCCGAGCGCACCTACGGCGTCGGTTGCCAGGTCCCTTCCATGCTACTCGGAGGCTTCTGGCCGGCGAGCGGCGCGCACAATCCTTCTCCAATCAGACACGCCAGTGCTGGCGCCGTGTAGTCGACCTGGTCCAATCTCGTCCCCTGGTGGGCGGGAACCTGAAGTTGCCTACCTGCACCTGTGGCCTCTGGTGCCGCCTCCTGGGTGTCCCCACCCCCACACCCCCAACCCCCTCTGGTGCCTCCGGATTTAGAATCTATTGGCGAGTTACCAGCAGGTGGTAAGATGCCTTTGGCAGCTCGGAGGACGGACTCTTAGGAAGGTTCAGTGCACCGGAGTGGGCAGCCCAGGTCCCTTCTCCCAGCGGCTCCCGTGAGACAGTCGCTAGGACGCGGGACGCTCCTGCAAAGGAAAGGCTACTGCTGAGCCTTAGGACCCGACTGGCATTCACCTGGGGCAGTGAGCTTGGTACCCACTCACCGCCGAGTCCTGCTGCCGAGCCAACAGAACTGCACGCTGACGCCACCGCCGCGGCGCACACAAGTTGGGGGTGATCGCGGAGAACAGCTGCGGCTCGCCTTAGCTGGACCTCGGGGATTCCGGCTAGCAAGCCTTCCAGAAAGAACGCCCACCCCCACCCAGGACGCTACCGTTTCGCCGAGAGGGAACCCCTCCGAGCTTCCTGCAGCCGGCAGTGCGCGGCGCCTAGAGGTTCTGAGAAGCCGGAGCAGGTGAGCTTGTCGGGGTAGTTCTGCGCCCTCGGACACCGGGCCTGGCGCCGGGCATCACTCTGCGGCGCCCCCCATAGTCCCCTGATCCTTCCCAAAGACCCGAAAATTTACGAGTCTAAAGTGACCAGTGTGTATTTGCATAATTTGCCTATTTCCCTTGCGCGATTCCTACAAAGCCCTTCCCTGCACTCTAAATTGTTGACAGTGGAGAAGAAGGTGTTGGGTCGAGCCCCCCACTCCCCACCAATGTCTTGATAGTGCTTCCCCTAAGAAAGTGGAGAGTAGGCGGGAGGAGACGCAGGATGTTGGCGAGCCCCACCACAAACAGCTGGAGAGTGAGCGTGCGTTTTGTAAGAACTTTGGGTTTGGGTTCCCTCCCTCAGCTATTGTTTTCGAGTTGGAGCCGGAGCGTGCCCTCCGGGCGTCCTGGAGTGGAGCTGGTGCAACGGTTTCCTGGCTCTGCCGTGGCTGCCGCGCCGCCTCCAGCAAACGTTCCGATTTTCGGTCCCTGAGGTTCCAGGAAGAGAACCTCAACAATAAACATCGCCGAAATTTTGCTGGCGCGCGCGGGCGAATTCCCAGTGCGCCGAGCGCGTGGGATGAGCTGGAGTTGAGCGGAAACGTGGAAGAGAGCAGCTGCGGAGGGCAAATCTAGCGCCTTGGTGGTGTGGGTGACGGATAAGCCAGCACCCACAGCTAGACCAAGGAGTCCCGCCTCTGATATCAGCATCCTTAGTAGTAACGAAGAGCCTTTGCGCTCCGCCAAAGCTTGTTTTTTGAAAGCTCAGAGGACGCAGATGAGCTTAGAAATTCAGGTTGCGCTCTCTTTCGTTTGGAGGAGGGTATTGCGCAAGAGAAAGCGCAGCCTTGAATTTGCAGCAAAAACTCACGAGTTCCCTAGTGCAAAGAAGCCGGTGCCTGTTCAGACCAAAGGAAGGGAAGAGGGCACTGAGGGCGTTTACCGCCCGGCGTCATCCCAACCCGTCGGTCCGCGCGGGCTCAAAGAGATGCATGGATTGATCTGTGGGGACTAAAGCGTAAGGTGGAGGCCTTCAAGGAACGCTAAGTCTGAACGTGCTTCTCTGAAAGTTAGCAGAAGCTGGGGGAAGGGGGAGAGGGTGGAGAGCAGCATCTAAAGGAAACAAAGCAAAATGCCATGAGCTTGTCTCATGCTCCTAGTGGTATGCCAGTCCCCAACCCGGGGAAGGGGGGTTCCATGGGAAAGAATCCTGGAACTGCAGTGTATGGGGATAAAACTTTAGCAAGGACGTTTCTAAAGCCTTGATGGAGGTGTCCTGTGTACTATGCACCGTTCACCTGGAACAGGCGCCCGGCTGGCGGGTGCGCATCTACTTGAAGGGTCACACTTTGGCCGTGGGTCCAAAGTCAGGCAGATTGACAGCACAGGCAATTTCCCCCTCGTGTGCGGGAAGGCCAGATGTCCGGGAACTTCCCTCGGGATGCCCGTGGCGCTGCGCCCTACGGGCAAGACTGAGTTCATTGAGTGGCACGAGAGGCCAGCGGGTGGCGCCGGGGAGACCCTAGTACGTTCGTGCCGTGGGAGCGCGGCAGTGCCACCTGGGGGCTGGGTAGCACGAGGCTTCAGCTCCGGGGCGCTTGGAGAGGATCGACGGGGACACATTGGGATGGTTTGGCGGGTAGGGTAAGGAGGGGAACTTGACTTCGATGCACCCAGTAATCAGGTTTGGGGCTTTCTTTCTTCCCAGCAGAGTGCGCAGCAGGGTCTCCGGCTCAGTAGCCGGCAGGCGCGGAGCCTGCGAAGGGGCGGCCCTGGGCCCAAGGCGCCGACCATGGCAGACAGCGGCGGGTCGGGCCCCTGGTGGAAATCGCTAACGAACAGCGGCAGGAAGAAAACCAAAGAAATCCCCGCAGGGGCTCAGCCGCCTGCCCAGCCGCCCCCCGCGGAGACCCCGCCGCCCGCGCCGCCCAGCCCCGACTGGACTAGCGACTCGAGGGAGAACCAGCACCCCAATCTCCCCGGCGGCGCCGGCGATGCCCAAAAGCCAGACAAGTGGGGCGGGGAGAAAGCCGGCAACAGCCGCCGCAATTTAAAGATTTCGCGCTCCGGGCGTTTTAAGGAGAAGAGGAAAGTGCGCGCCACGCTGCTCCCCGAGGGAGTCCGGTCCCCCGAGGAGGCGGGCTGCCCCGGGGACCCCTACGAAGACAAGCAGTAACCCCAGCGCTGCAGGATCGTCTCTCCCGGATCCTTCTCCCCAACCCCTTCCCTTGTTATAAACCCTTCCCCTCCACCCCCACCCCAGGGAAGGGGTGCCTCACCCCACCAAATTCAGAATATTCGCGTGGGAGGCTGTCTCCACGGTTTTATTTCCCTGGAAATCGAAGTGTCGGATGAGTTTCCAATATTTCATGGCCCAAGTACGGACCCAAGTACGGACGATTTGTGTTGAGTAAGAGCTTGATGACTGGCCCCAGAGGAAGCTGGAGGCGTTGTTTTTCAAGAGTTGTTTTGTGGCTTTCAAGGACTGTGTCACCTGGGGCCGCCGGGAAGGTACTTTGCTAAGAGCTCAGCTGGAACCTCATGGAAGGAGGAGGGAGGGCTCGGATTCTGGATCTGCAATTGGAGAGCAAACCAATTGGGGCTGTTTGTAATGCCTAAGAAATGCACTTTAGAAATACTTGGGTAGGCTGATACCTTAAGGCAAGGGCTGGGAGATGGCAGACGCATTCTTAAGCGCAACTAAGTTTAGGCAAGATTGCTATTAATATTGAACTACAAAACTGTTCAGCCCTTTTTAAGTGTGGACTATTAAAATTGTTGCACTGTTAAACTTCAGATGACTTTTGCACTTTTTTTCTTTGCCCATCATCATACTTACAAGCAGACATGTAAAGATCTAAGGTGAAGTGTTAATCGTTTGCCATGTAACAGTTACTCCTTAGATAGTTGTAGGGAGACCATTTCTAGAAACCGGCAACACCCAGACAGAAGCCAATGAACTGATACCCCTATCTGCTAACCAAATTAAAAGAGAGGGAAAGGGACTAATACCTAACTCCTAAATTCTTTACACTTTAGTGCATCTTTATAGTGTCTGACATAATGCTAATAACCATTTATTTCCGTATCCATTGTTAACCTAACAAGCCATTGTCTGGAAATACTAACCCACACTGATCTTTCATTTGTGCAAAATTGGATTTTCCCCCACCCCTTGCTTACTCCAAGCCTTGCTTTTTAAAGACTGAAGTCTTCACTTACCTAAGTAATAAAAAACCTTTCTCTACCAGCCTGAAGATTATCAACGAAAAATCTACCTGTTTGCTTTTGTTATGACTTCAAGTAAAAGAGTAAATGAATACCACCTGCTTTCCATGAGTTACAAGTGAGTTACTGTGGTTGTAAGAGCCCCTGGGATTTTTCCTCATGGCAATTCCATTCATTTATAAACATCAGAAATGCAGAGAAGGAAATTGTGGTGATCAAAATATATATATTGTTTGATAGTTAAAACAACTTGATTGGATCTTTTAAGTATGTTAGAAAGAGGCACTTTCTTGAATTAGTAATTTATACAACAGCAAAATGTTGATATTTTAAAGACACTTAAGAAACTGGATGAAATGACGAAGATTGGTTTAAATTTGTGGGTTAAGCTTGGGTAGCAGCAGGATCATAGTTTACCTTTTTGATACATGAGTTTCCACACCAAAGAACTTGCTGCGAAGAAAAGTGTTTACATGGTGATTTTGAACATACTATGTTAACAGAGAAGGTATGTGAAGTGTTGTATTTTATCACAAAAAGACTTTTGTTGTGTGTTTAGAACTGGGAAAAACATCAGCAAAGTTTCATCAGAATTCATTTCTGAAAGAGGGAGTCTTTTCATCAGTTTTAAATGAGCCTTCATTCACGGGCTGGCAAAGAAAGTCCTGCACGTGTCAAATAATCATCAGGAGGAATTGCTGTTCCACTCTGTAGAAAGTAAGCAAAATTAGCATGAAATGGCTATCCAAAATGTTTTTCTCCTAGGAAACAGATTAGAACCATACCCATTTATAAAATGAAACCTGCAGTGACATAATTACAAAATCTTATCCTGATTCTTTTGTCCAATTTAAAGGTTTTAATGAACTTTTTGTTTTTAAAAATGTGTAGCTTTACACATCTGGCATTTCCCCAGGTTTTCTGCTTAGTTTTGAAGCTCTTCCAATTCTATAATTGCTGTAGCTAATCAATAGCAGACATATAGCAATGACATTTGTTAACATTGAGTCTTTGCCCCATGGTTTTTAAAGAATTTAAAACTGCTAATGGCAGTTGTGACAGTGAATGCCATTCACATTCAACAGTGGAGGTTTGTAATTACATAGTTTTAAAGCAGCCCTAATTATACAGAGGAATGCACTGATTTAATCCCAACTTGGTGAAACAGAAACCAGGGAAATTGGTGGGATAAAAAGATCATGAGTACGATGAGATAATTTGACAGTGTCTTATTGGGACTTACACACTTTACAGATGATTGTATTCCCTTAACATGTATAGAGATTAAGCGTTTGAAAAAAACTAAAGATAACAGTTTAAAAGGGGGAAATGCTGAGTGAATTAGACTTGATTAGATGAGACTTGCTTTTCTTCGCTTACAAACAAAATTATACTCACAAGTTTGGAAGCTATTAGAGAAATTTATGGAAAAAAGGTGGGGGAAATATCATGGCATGTTTGCTATACTGTTGAAGCCAGGATTAATAGTATGCACAATAGTTTTGATCTCAGTAGCTTTCCTTACAAAGTCAGTGGTTGAGTCTAATTCAAAACTACAGCTCATCTGCACATCCCTTGGTGTTCTGCTTCTACTATTTATCCCATTCTGACTCTCATTTCGAGATCAGAGACTTAATGTTGCATATGTGGTTAGGACATCTTCCTTCAGTATAAGGCTTGGAAATATTTTTTCCACTTTGAAACAATGTGAAATCAGCCATTCTGTGCTCACCTGAGGGGAGATCTATATACCTAATGAAAATGCCTAATGACATGGAGAAAAGCTCTGTCAAAACAGTCCTTCCCTGGAAATTTTCAAGTTTGGAATAAATGAAAGAATAGGATAGAATAGTACTAGCTAGTGACCAGAGGGATCTCTAATGAACAAAAGAGAGAGAATATTATTTTATTTATAGCATTCATGAAGATAAGTTTTGAAGAAACTAAGATTTGGGGGTCACACCTAGAAGTGAGGGACCAAAGCGATACTACAGCAGGTAGGGTGTTTACCTTCCATAAGGTTGACCCATGTGCTTCCTTAGCATCACATATGGTCCCCAGAGCACTGCCAGGAGTAACCCCTGAGCACTGCTGGATGTGATCCAAAAGCAAACAACAACAAAACACCTGACAGTGATCAGGGTTTAGTCCTGGCTGGCTCTGTGCTCAAGTCACTCAGTTGCTCCCAAGGTACTCGGAGTATGTGGAGCCTGGGATGAACCAGAGTCAGTCCTATTCGATACAAGCCTGAATCATTATACTAGTTCTCCTGTCCACAAGGAAATGGGAGTTTTAGGGAAATTCCAGGCAGCCTAGAAACAAACATATAAAAAGCAAGTTTGATAGATGAGATAAGGGGGAACTGATCTTTTAAAAGTTTGTTTTACTCAAGAAACATTTAATTGTACTAAAACTTAGGAGATTCTTTCTTGAGATATGCTCAAATTCATCTTCATGCCAAGGAGAAAATGAAACCAGAGATATGTTATGCCCTTGGTTGTCTAAGACACAAACAGTAACTTAAACTGAAACAATTGAACAATCTAGGACAAGATTCATGGTTGAGAAATTAACTGTGCCACAGCTTTGCTCTCGCTTGTTCTTGGTCCTCCCAGCCTTGGTCCTCCCAGCTTGTTCTTGGTCCTCCCACCCTTTCTCATCTGCCTTCCCAGCTATGACCTGTGCTTTCCAGAGATCCAGACACAGAGGTGGGGGCTCCCAGGCATACTAGTCCCAGCCTCTTCCAGGTGAGTCATATTAACAGCCCTTCATCAAAAGAGAGTCCTACCTATTACAATGTTAGAAAAATTAAAATAAGAATAAGATTCATGATAATAGCATCATTATGGAAATAACAGTTTTTGGAAAATTTCCTGGATCTAACCTTGGTGATGAGTCTTTTGTGTAGAGATGGTACTGACTCTGGACCCAGATCAGTAAGACTGTAGAATATAAGTGATCCTGTTAGGTAGCCAGAGCAACAGATTTAGCTTCCATATGGAATTGTGCTGCAGGTAACAATGATGGGCACACAATTTTATATCAGTGTTATTGATAAAAATGGGAAAAAAATCCACGGGTGGACTATTTTTATATCTGAAATATCTCCCAAGACTGTTCACCCAAAAGACAAAGAACATTCTTAGCCATGTCACTGTCACTGTCACTGTTCTCCCATTGTTCATCGATTTGCTCGAGCAGACCCAGTAACGTCTCTATCATGAGACTCGTTGTTACTGTGTTTGGCATATTGAATACGCCATGGGTAGCTTGCCAGGCTTTGCCGTGTGGGCGAGATACTTTCGGTAGCTTGCCAGGCTCTCTGAGAGGGGCGTAGGGGTCCAACTCAGGTAGACCATGTTGACTGCGTGCAAGGCAAACACACTACTCGCTGTGCTATCGCTCCAGCCCTTCTTAGCCATGTAACTAGAAATATTCATTTTGAAGAATGCAACAGCCCCTAGTCTGAGAGGAACTGTTGATGGAATTGCCAGCTGAATAGGGAATGCAGATCGTTTCTGGACTTCTTGTGTTCATGGTGAAAATATGTTCCTTGAGTATAAGCATCCTATATGATTCATTTCTCTTGGTTCCAGTACTCTAATGCAGCCATTGATTTATTCCCTACCTGACCCTAGTCTTTCACCATTGTTCTTGGACATAACTGAGATGATGTGTATGCCAGTTTACTCATCTATAAAATGATTTTATGATGTCTATATTTTTTAGCTTAGAAACGTCATGTTCTGCTATTTGTACAACTGGTTGTTAAAGTAGCTTATTGTTTACTCTAAGACAGAAAGGCACCCATTGTACTGATGATCAGGTAGGGACTGAAAGGAGACAGAAATATAAGATGCATCTGGACACATCACTACCACTGTAGCATCTGGCTCAACTACTGGGTGATTCCACTCTACTGGAGCAGTGGGGCTCATTCATGTTTAAAACAGAAATTGCAGTAAGTATATCTTTCTATAGTAGATTAGCATTCACAAGTTGTGTTTCATAATTTTTTACAAGTTGTTTATAGCACAGTGGGTACAGCGTTTGCCTTGCACGCAGCCAACATGGCCGACCTGAGTTCAATTCCTCCGCCCCTCTCAGAGAGCCCGGGAAGCTACTGAGAGTATCTCGCCCGCAGGGCAAAGCCTGGCAAACTACCCGTGACATATTCAATATGCCAAACACAGTAACAATTGTCACAATGGAGATGTTACTGGGCCTGCTCGAGCAAATCGATGAACCATGGGAGGACAGTGACAGTGACAGTAAGTTTATCATAGCTAGGCCTTGAAGTTCCAAAGCCTATCAATCCACCCAATTCCCTACTGCTGTTTCAACTCATATTTTTCCATTCATGATGGTGTCCTAAGTCAAGCATTTGTCTCTTCCAAGCACAGAGACCTGCAGATTATCATTTAGCTTTTTCCCATACTCAGTTAAAAATTATGAAGCCAAACTATTTCACTCCTATGTGAAATGCAAGAATCTCCTAGAATAAAAAGAAAAAAAGAAAA